TTAGAAAGCTTTTGTCAGGGCAAACATAACTCCCAAAATTTTAATACAAATTACACACAAAAAAATCATTTATAAAATATGAATAATTACAAATTAACCTTGTGTAAGAATCCAAGTCGGGCGCTACTAACTCCACTTCATGCTACAAAGTTTACTTGAACATCAAACACATATACAACAAAATGGAAAGCTACAACGAGCTTTGTGAGTAACCCATACATCAAGATATGAGTTAGTTAAAAAACTAAATATATTATTACAATCTCGACCGTACAATTATAATGTGTCTTTCAATCATTCAACATATACATAAGGCATTACTGACACCAAGTATGGCATTCATTATCCATAGTAGATATACAATCACGTTAGCTACTATCCATTCCTATAACTTTTCCTCGATAGTAATTAATACTACAATGACTACTAATTCTTCCAGTAATGTTATTATAGTCACCAAGACTGTCATCTCTCTTCAGTATCAACCATTCAAGTATAGTGTTATAGATACCGAGTCCACCATTGACTTGCATTTCTCCAATGATGGTATTACCATCACCCAGACAATAACCATATTTGATAACCACATACAAGTGCAACGTTACAAACACTAAGTATGCTATTAACTTGTAAACCATCAAACCTTTCTATACATACTCATTCCCAATATCACCGCCTCAATTTTATAATATTTAAGGTTACAGTTGTTTAAGCTATTACTCAAACTATTCATTATCTATAATAGAGTTACAGCTAAGCAGTCTGCTAACAATTCCTATTAACATTTCCTTAGTAAAGTCACAATTACATTAACTACCTTCTCATTTGACTAATATACCATTAGTGGCAAAGCCACATAAACTATCAACATGTCAGATTCATTTGCAAATATAGCATTAGACACTAAATCCACCATTGATTTGCATTATCCACCAATGATGATATTATAGTTACCAATGCTACTATTATAAACCAAAATAATAACACATAAGTATAACATTACTGTCAGTAAGGTTGCCATTAACTTTAAATTCCACCAATGATGATATTATTGCCACCAAGACTACCATCATGTAAACAATAACTCTAATCATTATCACGCTTATGCTACTCTAGAAGTTTTAAACTACCTAATTCCAGTTCATATTTCCTAACAACATACAAGTATAGTGTTAAAAACACTAAGTTCACTATTGACTTGCATTATCCAATATTAATCTACAAGCATGGTGTTACAGACACTAAGCCCTCCATTAACTTGTATTTATAAATAATCCTCCAATCTCAATAAAGTTGTGTCATAATCACAAAGGCCATCAAAATACATATTCAATCATATAGTGGTATTTTACAGTACTAAGCATACCAATAATAACAGTCCTCATAAAATGGCATTTACAACACCAAGCATACCGATAATAACCAATCCTTATACAATGGCATTTACATTACTTTGCACACCGATAATAGTAAATCCTTATACTATGGAATTTACAACACTAAGCATACCAATAGTATTGAGTCCTCAAATAATGACATTTACAACGCTAAGCATATCGATAATAGTCAATCCTCATTTAGGCAGTTACAACACTAGTCATACCAAAAATATTTCATTCCTATAAATGGTATTTACAACACTAAGAATACCAGTAACATTCATTCATGCTATTACAATCAGTCAGACTATCATGATTAGTTAATTCTAATAATCTAGCTTACATATAATACACATAAGCTCATTAACTATTTCATATAGCAATAACCTGCTATAATATTCAACGTGATTCTAAACCGTAAATAACCTTACAAGTTCCAAACCTAAACATAGCAATTCACAATAATCATACTACTATATTTAGCATGTAATCAATGAAATACATTAATAAATACATATCTAGATAATATATATATCTAGAAGAGAAGTGAGGTTACTCACCCGATTAGTTGGTGAAGACTAATATGATTCCGAACTCAAGCTATTTACCGCTTTCCAATCCATCACTTGTCCAGGCCTATTTGGACAATATATCAAGTTCATTAGAACTTGTCTAAACTCACCATTATATCAACCACAACGATTAATTACTTGATCACTAACTAAAAGCGATAACCATTCGTTGCCAAACTAATCAAGTTTTCGAATAAAATCATCTAACGACTTAATCCCGTAAGCGGTTAGTGTTAGATGCATTTCATGCATGCATTTTGTAATTTTACTCCATAAAAGTGCATTGCATTTAGGTTTAAACTCATGCATGTTGCATATTTTTCGGGATTTTTCATGATGCAATTCCATTCACACACTTTCCTGATATTTCAGGGACTTTTGGAGGTAGGATCTTAGTTGAGGTGATGAATAAGAGATATGGATGAAGTTTCGGGACTTGTGGAGCATCGAGGAGGAAGCTATGAAGAAAATGAAGATTTTAGCTTTACAGAGATTTACATGGCCGTGTAAATGCAAGCCTTGTGTTTACACGGGCCGTGTAAACGCATACTTATGAGCAGTGGACTTCGAAGTCCTGGCCAAATTGAGCAATATACTTTTGTGTTTACACGGCCGTGTAAGTTGGTAGTGTTAGTTTATACGGGCCGTGTAAACGAGGTCGTCAGTTTAAATCAGTTTTTCTCCTTTCTAAAATGATGCAACCGGTTCAAGAAGAAAAGGGGGTCGATTTTGTGAGTTCTAAGAGGTGATTTTGGGAGCATTTTGAAGACAATTGTTGCTTGAAAACTTTTGGATTTCACTTGGATTTTAATTTGTAAGACTTTAACTTCAATTTCTAGGTTTATGCTTGTTCTAGTCATGAGTGGCTAGAAACTTAAGTCTCCAACTTCATGTATTGACAATTGTGTGTGTGAATTCAATCATTTGACTTGGTGTTTGTTTTAAATGTTATCTAGTGAATTTGATTTTGTTTTAATTGAAGGTTTGATTTCAATTATAGTTCTTTTTGGCCAATTGAGTTAGGGTTAAATCACTCATGTTATCTATTATACAAAATCCGTAATTGTTTCGTAAAATAGAACAAGTAACATGTATTAAATCATACTACTTGCAATGATTCTAGTACAAATCAAATTCACACATTCTAACACTCCCAAGATTATGAGGAGTATTGAATGTTGTTGGTAAAATTCACATAAGGCATAATGCAATCTTTCACCTATTCTAAGAACTTGTTTAGATTAGGTTAGTTAGATTAGAATTAATTAAAGAGCTTATTTTAATTAATTAAAATGGTGAATGTGAATTGCTAGAGCTTATTAGCATTTCTAATACCAACTTAGATGGAATTAAACAAATATCACTTCATATTTTGAATCACATTGCTAATTAGTCTTGCATAGAGTTGGAGTACTTACAAATCTTGAATTTATTTTACTTAATCAATTGCTATTTATTACTTCAGTCCTTTATTTGAATCATTGTATCTAACCCCCCCTCTTTTGTGATCTCATTTATACCTTACGTAAAAAGGGTATAAACACTTATCTCGTGTCTCTGAGGATCGACCCTACTTACCTTGTATTACATTTTTAGTACAAAGCAGTAGTGTTTAAGGAGTTATTTTTACCCCTTTATTTGTTAGCTTTGACACGCCTAACAGTTAGTCAAGTCGACAATCTCGGTAAAGTAGGTTACATATAACCTTACTGATCAAATTAAACATGTAACTGTTCACCGGGTTCGTAATAGCAACATATAACGGATTCATGTAACACATATTCATGTCTAACAACTATCTACAAAAAATTACATAAACATATTTTCATAATAACAAGATAAAACATTCCTCAACTAACCCCGTAATTCAACCCCCGTATCCTCATACGACTCTACGGTAATAATTCTCGGGAAACACCTCCCGGGCATATCCCCTGATCGTATGTGCCAAAACTCCTCAACTGAAACAAAAAACATGTATTTATACTATTTTGAAACCGCGTTGCGGTAGCCAAGTCATCGCTTCGCGACCACGTTCTTTTTCGAGAGAAAGCCACGTGTCGAAATTATTGCCACGTGTTACGTATGATCGCCACTTGTCTCGTTGACTCACTCCACTCCGCGCCATTGTGAAAATTGTGCCGCGGCGTGGTGAGCCACAATTAACCATTTAACTTTGACTTTTGTTGACTTTCTCATGATACTAACATACTTTCTTTGGAACTTCGAACAACCATAACTTTCTCATATAAACTCCGTTTTCAACGATCTTCATATCTACGAAATCGTCTCTAAGTAATCTATCACTTTCTTCCACTTACTCCTGTCCATTCTTACCTGATATAAAAATTATAACAGGTGTTACACCAAAGCTCTTAACAAACCGCTAAGCCAATGTTTGATCCCCAAATTCCACCATTTAAGCCTCCAAATTCTAGTTTTTCCCAATTTTTGTAAAATTCCTTTTTTATTTTTATTTTTTTAATGAAAAAAATATGTGTTTAATTATCTTTTGAATTTCATTCTTTTATTTAGGATCTTATTTTGAGGATTCTAATGTCAATTTCAGTTTTTCGAAAATTCTGTATATATACATGCCAAATTTATTCTCCTTATATACCAAATCTTTCATAGTAGTCATGAAATTAGTAAAAAAAATCTCTTTGACTATTTTATGTTCTTGATTTGGTCCTCTGTCCGGAGTACCATGATCTCTACTCATTTTTTTGTTGGTTAGCCATTTACCGCATATTGTAAGAGAGCTTGTCGAACTTAATTAGAGATTTTGAGTCTATTCTTGTAGCCTCTTCGTTTCTTCTAAAATCTTTCAGATTGTTGTTCCTGCTTAAGTTCTTAGTGGTTGGTTAAAACATCGAGTCTATTAGTTCGTAAATCATGATTTGGTTTTCTGTTCTTTATATGAAATACGTTTCAAAGGTTTCTTTGATTCTTTCGAACTGTTTCAAGTTAGTCTAATAATTGGCCTAAAAGAAATACATCTCACATTTACACATTAGCACATCAATTTTTATTTAGATCAAGAAAGCCACGTGTACTACATCAGTGAGCATGTACACGAATTACATGTAATGTACTATATCAGTGTCGAATTAAAAGTGTCAAGAAAATATATGAGTTCTAGATTTCTGATTGGAACAACGTTTGTAGAAGGAAGTGATGCTAGTCTTCCCAGTTATGTTTAGTGGGTATAAGGCAAAGTGGTAATTTCCTATGGAGAACCAGGGAGCCCTCCTCCACCATGTCCAAGTCTTCGTGCTCCATTTCACCAGGAATTTTCCAATCATACCAATACAACAGGTTTGCTATGGTGAACTCAACAGTCGCTGGAGCTGTTTTCACCGCTGGGCAGGTTCTTCTTCCCGCTCCAAAGGGAACCATATCATAATTTCCACCTCTGAAATCCACCTCAACATTCTCAAACCTTTCTGGGTAGAACTCAGCCGCATTCTCCCCCCATGTGCTTGGATCTCTTCCTATTACCCACCCATTAATTAAAACCATCGTATTTGGAAGGACGTCATAACCACCAATTTGACAACGGCCTAAGCTTTCATGTGGGAGCAACAATGCGGCTGGAGGGTGCAATCTTAATGTCTCTTTCACCACCATCTTCAAGTAGGTCATTTTTGAGACATCAATTTCATCTAGTTTTTGTTTCCTTCCAGTGGTATTTCGGATTTCGCTTTGCAACTTTTGCATCACTCTTGGATTTCTAATAATTTCGGACATTGCCCAAACCATCGTTGCAACGGTTGTATCAATTCCTCCAGTAAAGATGTCCTGAAAACTTATTTCGCATTAGTTATATAGACTATTGCACTACATAAAATTATTAAAAATATGATATATATGTACCACTATAAGAGATTTGATTTCTGTTTTAGTCAACCGATCATCATCAGAAGCATTCTCTATCGAAGACAACTCAAGCAAGGTATGAAGAAAATCCTTGTCATCATCATCAACTTGGCCAATATGAATCTTGTGATGATGGTCATCAACGTGCGACTGGATGTAGGCATCAAGATTGCGACAAACTTTTCCTAGCTTATGATTCCTTCCACTAATTTGGTCAATTATTTTACCTAACCATGGAAAAAAATCACCGAACGATGGATTCATTAATTCCAAGACTTCATCAAGTATCATTTCGAATGAAGGAGCTTTCAGTGGTTGTTCTCTGTAGTTCAAGCCAAGCGCCACCTTAAAAGTCACCGCCTTTACTAAACTAAAAACAAGTCGTTTAAGTTTATCGCATTGTTTGATGGATGTAATGATACAGATCGAAGCATGATCTCCACCTCTGTTAACAACACATGGTTAGACAGTCTAGCTCTCTTGGGGCCCAGGAATTCAGATACCAAAACCTTGCGCATCTTCCTCCAGTGATTGCTGTGAGGCGTGAAGGCAGCGTCGACATAGTTGTATGTTAGTTGCTTGGTGGTCTTGTTTATTGGACGGGAACAAAGTATGTGATCTTGATCTTTAAGGACTTGTTTGGCCATGGCAGAAGAAGAGATTATTAGGCAAGGTTTTGAACCAATATTGAGTAGCATAACTGGGCCATATTCTTGGGAAAGTTTCCAAAAGGCTAGATGACGAGCTTGGCCTAGTAGTTGATGCATGTTCCCAATAAATGGAAGCTTTGGAGGGTTTGGTGGAAGCTTAGGGGCAACCATCGACGACCTATTAGATTTAAGAGTATGGAGAAAGATCCAGAACATGGAGAGGACAAGTACTGTTGGGAGAAGCCATGAAGGGAAGATAGAAAAGATCTCCATGTGACTAGAACTTTTGAGCTGGTTTGATTGCCGATTCCAAGCTTATGTACGTTCATTTATAGTGAGGCTTCACGCTTGGATATATACCTACCATGAACATAAAAGTGCGTCCTATTACATCCCCATTACTAGATATATGCTTATTTTGTAATTTTGTAATATTTCTTTTACAAAATATTCATCCCTAAATGTTTATTGTATTTTACATTTGAGGTTTAAATGGTTTACAATAACGAATGGAGTAGTACAAAAATAGAATCACCCCAAAATTATCTGATGAATATGTTGGTAACTAGTAAGCTTGCGTCCATACATTTTCTTAATAACTTATTGCATAATGAACTTTAGAATAAAGAGTCGACTTGATTATTTAACAGTCTGAGTTTTGAAACGTGTACTATCATTTTTTTTTCTTCTTTGATTTAATTTTTTATATATAAGTGTAGTCAAAGTATAAGATTCGAGAGTTGATTAAAGTATATGGTCTATCGATATTCGCTCCTATTCACTAAATATATATCTTTACTAATTTTATATTATATAAATATTATTTAATCTGCTTAATCATTATAATATTAAGACAAAATTATAAAAATGGTCCCTGTAGTTTGCCAAAAGTCACAAAGTCAGTCCCTATTAATTTTTTTTGATGTAAATGGTCCTTGTGGTTTGAAAAACTTGCACGGATGGCCCTTTTTACTAAGTATTCAGCCGCTAGGGACTGAATTCGTAAGGGCATTTTCGTCTTTTCAAGTATAAAGGGACTGAATTCGTGACACTTGGTAAACCATAGGGACCATTTTTGTAATTCATCTTAAAATAATTTAAATGAGTGGGGGATGATTCGAACTTGGGACCTCCTCCCCTAATCCCAAACCAACCTAAGCGTTATACCACTAAGCTGCATCCAAACTTGGTTTAGAGTTCCGAAAAATAAATTAAATTATGTAAAATCGCAAAAAAGGATAGATAACAAAATAAATTACAATTTTTTTTACATAATTTTTTTAATAAAACAAATTGTACTTTTACGTGAAGTATGTTTTTTATGTATTTAAAAAATACCTTTTCATATAATACGTTATTACGTCGTTAAAATCATAAAATATACTTTTACGTTATCTTAACATCTTTAGTTGATTTAAAGCGAATATTCAAGTATTTTTTTTACGTTATGTTTTCATGTTCTTAATATTTTTTACGTAAAAAAAGTACTTGTAGTTTTGCTTTAAACCAATTAAAGACGTTAACATAACGTAAAAGTATACTATAAGATTATAACAACATAATAACGTATTGTACAAAAACGTATTTTTTAAATACATAAAAAAATTTATTTTACGTAAAATAAAAACGTAAAAAAACATATAAACTAATTGTAAAAATATATTTTTTCTTCGATACGTAAAAGTACAATTTGTTTTATTTAAAAAAATTATGTAAAAAAAATTGTAATTTATTTTATTATTTATCCTTTTTTTTTTTTTTTGCAATTTTACGTAATATAATTTATTTTTCGAAACTATAAACCAAGTTTGGATGCAGCTTAGTGGTATTGGGATTAGGGGAGGAGGTCTCAAGTTCGAATCCTCCTCCACTCATTTAAATTATTTTTAGACGAATTACAAAAATGGTCCCTATGGTTTACCAAGTGTCACGAATTCGGTCCCTTTATATTTGAAAAGACAAAAATGCCCTTACGAATTCAGTCTCTAACGGCTGAATACTAACGGCGTTAGTAAAAAAGGTCATCCGTGCAAGTTTTTCAAACCACAAGGACCATTTACATCAAAAAAAATTAATAGGGACTGACTTTGTGACTTTTGGCAAACCATAGGGACCATTTTTGTAATTTTGTCTAATATTAATATTATTAGACCATATAATTTTGAAGATTATATATATATATATATATATATATATATATATATATATATATATATATATATATATATATATATATAGGTTTAAGTTATATGGAAAACAAGAAACCCTAAAATCATAAAAATGCATAAAAATATACTTAGAGAGAGAGAGAGAGATTATTATGTTTTAACTATTTATTTTATAGATATAAGATTTATTGTAGACCAATTATTTTAGTTATTTTAAGAAAATAATTAATAAATATTATTGAATTAAATATAATTGAAAAGTCTATTTTAGTAAATAACATAAATTTAAAAAAGGAATACTGCGAATTTTATTGAATACTTAATTCGCTTAACTTTAAAAATCTGTTTTTTTTAATAATTCTATTAATTCGGACATTCCAACATAATGGGTTTATGGTTATCTTGAAAAAAATATTTTATTATCATGTTATGAAGAGTACTAGAATCAGTAATTACATTCATTCTTAAATAATACAATTGTGAACATAAATTACATTTATTCTGAATGAATACGACTAATAATGGTTAACAATTATATTTTTTCTTAAAGAATAAAATCGAGAATGGTTAAGAAAAATAATAAAAACATTGAAATCTAAATAAAACACTTATACATTCTGATAGAATATTGTTGCTAATCCATTCTGACAGAATATGTTGCTAATCCATTTTAGAATATTGTTTCTACTTCTCACATGTTGACATTATGTATTTCCCATCCGATATGAATGATAGAATTGGTTTCCAACATTTGATTGACCTGGTTTGGTTTCCAACATTTCATTAACATGGCTTTCGTTTCCACATCAGTGGCAACCTTTTCAAAGCTAAAACCCATAAAGAAAAACATAATCAACTTTATGTATGATAGAATGACTTTAGTAGAATAATTCATTCTGATAGAATGATTCTAGTTGCTTTTGTATCGGCTTATATGAATGATAATTGCTTTTAACAGTTTATTGGCATTCAGTATCCATGTATGATCTCTAACTTTAAAAAAAATTAATGGACAAGAATGAGAATCAATTAACACCTAATTTACTAACTTCCTGTGAACATCCTTGTTTAAAAATTTCAAACGCTAGTCGCTATACTCAGTGCGCCATGTGAGCTTGGACTCCTTTCACACTTTGGCCCCCTTTCCTCTAATCCAGTAACAAGAAACATACAGATCAATATATAAAAATCTAAACATAAACTTCAACACAGATAATGAAAATAAAAAGAATAGTAATCGTCTGCCATTAGGGTAAATTTCTAAGAAAAATAAATGTATAAGAACACAGGAGAAAATATTACAACAATAATGGAGTGTGATGAAGAAACAATCAGATTCAGTTAACTCGATAAAACAAACACACACACATACACAAAGCCCACAAAATCTATGGAAGCATACAAAATTCAAAATTTTAAAAAACAAATTGATGTCCTAGGTTTAACTAGGGCTCGTTAGAGTATACAACTTTGATATCTACCTTTATACTTAAACCAAAATTGAGAAGAAAGGCGAAGTGACAAATGTTCAAAAAAGAAGAAAGGAATACAATTAGATAATGCAATCAAACAAAAAAACACTTATAGGTAAGCAAAGCAGATGAGCAGAGAACTTTTGGGTCAGGGATGGTACGGCTAAAAGATCGAAAATTGTAGTGCAGATTACATAAATTAACTAAATCAAACGGGTTGTTTAATGTTGGATAGGGGAAGAGATATATATTGTTGTCTTCTTGAGTGAGGGTAACAACGTTGTTGACATTGGAGATGCCCTTGAGGATGTCATCGATTTTCTTGACGTCGGCAATGACAGTAAGGGTTTTAGAGGCGATTGAAGAGATTATTAAGGATTGATGATCGATGGAGGGTTTAAGGGGATGCCTTATATTCAGTGGTTAGAAAGGCGTCGCCTTCTTCTGTTTCACGTATGTGCAAGAGCAAATGGATTTGTAACGCTTGGATTTTTGGTATGTTCTTTTAGCCTCTTTATATTTATTTTATTGAAAATTGGTCCTTGGAGTAGTACGCGAGGCATACCACATGCGTACCACATGGTACGCTTAGCGTACTAAGGAGGGAAGTGATCGCGGCTACGAGGCCTCGTACGTTGGGCATACGAGGATTACGCTTAGCGTACGTGGAGATTAAGAAACCCTAATTTTAGGGTGTTGCACCCTATATAAAGTCCTTAAGTCCCTAGGACTGTCCTCTTTACCAGCCTCCAAACCTCCTAAACCCTAAATCTCGACCCTTAGCCTCCATTGTTGTGTCTTTTAGCTTTTGAGAAGAATTTGGCCCTTATTCATCTGATTTTCAACCAAATTTTTCATTTTTAAAATCACATAAAACCAATATCACATTTCTCAAAAAACTACAAATGTATAAGTTGTCAAAACACAAGTCAACAAATGTTTGATAATATCCCAGAATCCTCAAAAACATAACTCCAACTGGTGTGTACAATCAAGCCAGCGCCTTCCCGCGATCCGGAGAAGTACTTGAAACACATATCACACAACACTGTAAGCACGAATCCTAGTGAGCTCCCCAAAATACCGCACACATATCATTAGTCTCTCATGGCTATATCTCGATAAAGACCCTTCGGTCAATGTGTCTCAGTGAAGATCCTCCGATCCCACAACTCGGGGTGGACCCTCCGGTCCTAAATCAATAAAGCACAGAATAATATACAGCATAAATCACAAAGACATAATGCATGATATCACATGACTCGGTATAAGCATACAAGACCCTCCGGTCGATAACTCAGATAAGACCCTCTGGTCACACAGTATTACCACTTAGGTAAGTATAGTTAGAAGACTCACCTCGAAAGTAAGCAAGGAAGCCTCGTACCCCTCGAACGATCTAGACTTCCCCTACATATCATAATCATCTCTAATTAACACATTCTATTCTAAATCTCTAAAAAAGTTAGGTTAACTCCTTTTCTAACTCTTGGAAAGGGTGAAAGACCATTTTACCCCTCCATGGTCTCCATAATCCATGTCTTGACCAACCCTAATAGTCAACAAAAGTCAACACTTGAGTCGACAATCCATGTTGACTCAACTCGCCGAATACAGATCATGGACTCGTCAA